CTGCCTGCACAGTAGTTATTCTCCATCATTTGTGTTTAGGAAATCAATCAGGTCTGCTTTTAATGGATATGAAGAATGATACTATTAAACTATCTTCTTTTTCTTTTTAGCATATAATAACATTAAAATACCCTTTGAGGGTATAATAACAATAAAAATGACTTGATCATTACATTAAGGAATAACTGAATGTTGAGTATTGAAATGAGTAATGAAACATATCAAAAAATCAAAGTTCCAAGAAATAATAGTTCTAAGATATTTAACATTATAATTTGGCTGTTCATTTTTCTTAAGTAAAATATCATTATTATTATTTTTACTCGGGCTAATGAAACACATGTGTTTAACTAAATTTTATTAGGAAAAAAAATATACCCTTGTTCTAAACACTGTCTTCATACCAGATTTAACATAACCATTTAGTTTTGCTGACAATATGAATAAAAAGACTAAAACATATAGAAACATTTGATGCTTGATCAATTTTGGAAAATAGCTGCCATTTCTAACAAAGTTATACTGCAAGGCAGAATGAAAAAAAAAGCGATTTCAAAAGGAAGAGCCTTTTAATAATCTAATTGTCACCTATTTAAATTCTAAGACTAGAACCAGATTAAAAAATTATGGACTGAATAAGACTGACATCAGGCCCCCTTTCTAAAGGACTAATCCCTTTGTGATTCTTCCCGAGTAACAGATTCCTCTACTAGTCCCTCATTCATTCTGTCACTCAGCACCTTCCCTTTTTGAACAAACCTGGGATGATGAATATGCTGAGGACCGTGACTTGGTCATTGCATAATGTACACACAGACTAAAACTCACACTGGACCCCACGAAAACATGCCATCGTTATTTGTCAATTAAAAATTTAAGAAGCTACAAATGCGTGCACACACACACATAAGACAATTTATCAAAAGGAAAGAAAACCAACAAAGCAGAATAGAACTGTAATTTCACTAGCTAAGAAATTGAGTAAGGGAATGTCAGCAGAAGGGAGAGGCACCGTTACCCTAATGAAAATGCTTCCTAAAATATAACAATTATTTCCCACCTACATGAGAGCAAGACAGAGAAATTGCTAGGTACACAGCAGGTGTTCACAGGCAGAATGCTGAGAGGCGTCCATGCTAAATGGACCAGGAGGAACTAGGAGCAGATACCTGCTGTGGGGTGTGAGGTTTCATTTCTACCCAAGGCAGGTGATCTTCCAGGAATTTGATGAATTAAGAAGGAACTCAGTTCTGAATAAAATTAGGAGACAAGAAGTGCTCTCCCACCAGGAAAGGGAAAACAGAAAACTCTGTCATTTGGCCAGGTAATTTGCAGGGAAGAGAACTATCTTTGGGGCCATGAGTAGAAAAAACTCATCTGTGAAAACTGAGATCCCCAATCCTGGCCCAGGCCAGGGAGGTTGATGCAAATTCTCATGGTCTGCTTGGTGGAGGAACCTTGTCCGCAGGTTCAACACTACGCTGTGACTTGACCTCATGAATCCCAGAGGAACCTAGAACCAAAAACTGTCCTGTAGTGATGTCTTTACAACTATGAATACATGAAATCAGGCCTGACCGAAGCCCTGCTGTTGATGAACTCACAGTCAGAACTGTGGACAACACTGGAGTCCACCTGGAGAGAGTCATACAGACCAACCGCAGAAGTCAACACACTTATTTATGAATGAGAAATAGCAGAATGAAACCAGAGATACTTCCATGTTATATGTGTCAAATCTGCAAATCAATGGGTAGGAAATAAAATATCCATAGGCAAAATATAGAAATATTTTATTAAAAGTCAAGTTTTAAAAAGGACCAATTAGGCTTCTTAGATATAAATACACACACACACACACACACACACACACACACACACATTGAAATTATAAACTCAAAATGGATAAGGAATTTATTTACCTGAATTTAATCCTAAATAAAGGGCAGATTTGTAAACTTTGAGAAAAAAAAATCACAATTTCTTTCTGCAGCACAGAATGAAAAAACACAACATATTGCTAAAAAGAGCCCCGGGAGGAACGATCACACAAAACATAAGGAGCAATGTATAAAGGTAAAGAATTTTAAGAACTATACTGAATTTTTAAGGACACAAGATCAAAGACTGAAAAACTGCAACTAGTCACTTAGGTACATAAAAACAAATTCACAGCTAGAAAAAATATAGTAAAAGTCCAGGGAGAAATAAAATCCTGAAAGGCGCCCAGAGAGGAACAATAGATTACCTACAAAAAACTACAGTGAGACCGGTGGAAGACGTTTCATCAGCAATAATAGGAAATGGAACGCAGCGGAAAGATGTGGCCACAATACTGAAGGAAAATAAAAGTCAACTTACAATGTTATCCTCGGTCTATATTCAAGAGAAAATGTGAAATAAAGGAAATAAAGATATGGGATGTGTGTGTGTGTGTGTGTGTGTGTGTGTGTCTGTGTGTGTGTGTCTGTGTGTGTATAAAAGAATAAAATAACTCGATGAGCCCTTTAGAAGTTAGGAAGAGGGGTGAAAGAACCAAATAAAAATAAAGGAAACACAAGACAAGATGGTATGTGAAAAGTAGGTCCGAGCCCATCAGTGACGATCCCCAGGAGTAAAAACCACATTTGCGGTAAACAGGACACAGGGATGACATTAGCAAAGCCTGCATTATGGACACATGGGTGCTGACCATATTACTCTGTGTCCTTTTCTGTATCACTGAAATATTTCATAGCAAAATTGTTGAGGAAGAAAAAGAAAGAAGAGAATCACACGAAAGGCAGATGAAGGAGCAACTTAGCTGTGAGGCAGAGCCCGAGCCGGGAAGCTCTGCAGGAGGAAGTAGCTGGGTTTCCCTGGTGCTACTCTCTGTGGACGTCCCAAGGAAATGCAACCTGCACGAGTGTCACAAGGCTCAAGCTTGAGGGTGCACTTGTTGCTCACAAAATACCAAATTAATGGGTGTGAGAAAATGGACTTCTGCAGTCTACAGAGGTGCAACACAGCAGAAGAGAGACGAGAAAACCAACACCAAGACTGCAAGGACACGGCACCGTGTGCTTCTTAAAAGGGAAATCACACAGAATATTCTTTTCCTTTTTTAAAAAATATTTTTTAATTGTCAATGGACCTTTATTTTATTTATTTATATGCACTACTAAGAATTGAACCCAGTGCCTCACACAAGTGAGCCAAGTGCTCTACCACTGAGCCACTATTCCAGCCCCCCAAACAGAATATTCTTGTTCTCTGAAAGTCTTTGTGTTCTTTGGAGGCATCTTTTAAAATGCCCCAGTCACTTTCTCCTCTCCCAACTCTTTCCAGTGAGGAACAGGTCTTGTGTACTCAGGTGGAGAGAACATAGAGGTATTCAGCTGATGCGAAGATGGAGAAAAATGAATGAATTCATTCACTTATTGGGAGGTTTCACTCAAGATTTTGCAAATCTAGAAGAAGGGCTCCTTTGGTCCATATATTCCAAAGCGAATCCTTGGGGTAAGAGGAAATACAGTGGATACGCCTCCCAAAACGGAATGGCTATCTGAGGATCTGTACATATATGAATAATACTTTGCTTTGCTATTACTTTTGTAAATGCCATTGCAATGGCTCAGTGTCCAGAACAAAATCTTTTGGAGCATGGGGGTGATGGTGGGGGACATAGCACTTCTTTCCAGCTTGCTGAGCATCTTCATGAATTAAAGTACCGCCAAATCCAGGCAGCTTGGCTGCTCACAAATGCTAGCTGTGTCATGGGGCTACGTTCAATCGCACAGCTGAATTCCACTGGATCGAAAATGGTGCTTTACAATGAAATATTACTCAGCCATAAAGACAAATGAAATTATGGCATTTTCAAGTAAATGGATGGGACTGGAAAATATCATGCTAAGTGAAATAAGCCGTTCCCGCAAAACCAAAGGCTGAATGTTCTCTCTGATATGTGGCTGCTGACACACAATAAGGGAGGCAAGGAGGGAAGAAAAGAAGAACTTTGGATTACACAGAGGGGGATGAAGGGAGGGAAGGAGGGATGGAGATAGGAAAGACAGTAGAATAAAATGAACATAACTTTCCTATGTTCATATATGAATACACGACCAGTGAAACTCCATGTCATGTTCAACCACAGAACGGGAAGCTGTACTCCACGTACGTATGACCTGTCAAAATACGTTCAGGAACAAGTGGACAAATGTCTAAAAAGAACAAACAAAAAATTTTAAAGAAAGAAAATGATACTTTGGATTTTACATAATCGATGCTGAAGAGGGGAAAGAAAGTCGATTCCAGATTTTTTTTTTTTTTCTATATCTCTTGCCAGAAGGACAGGAGATTTTTGGAGAAAGTTGCTTGGTGTCTATTGCTGTCGTTAAGAAGGTTCAAGAGAGAAGATGGAGGAGGCCTCACAGAATGACTGGCTTTTCACCAGTAGGTAGGACCAGAAAGGAACCTGGTGTGCTCAGCCCCTCCCCTCTGCACCGTGTTTCTGGGAGGGGCCAGCTGGACCCAGCCCTGGAGTGGTCAAAGACGACCGCAGAGGGTGGATTTAGGACAGAAGGGAGGGAAGCGAGACCCACTGGACCTGACCACAGTGGATGGTGGGCCAGTGTGCCCAGGGCAGTGCTGGCCCTTCAACACACTGTGGTGTTCTTTGTTTATTAGAAATCACACCTGAAGGAGATTGTGTTGGGTCAGGTTATTGCACCGCATTTCTTAGACGGTGCATCAGAGTCACACCAAGAGCAACGTAAGAAGGTCACGTTTATTTTAAAAAATCCCCGAGGGGAATCAATACGTCCGCTTGGAAAATCAAGTTATTTCTGAGTCTAAGCAAAGCACATGGGGTACTCAGCCTTCAGGACCCGGAGTTACCTTTCCTCCACCCCGACGTGATGAATACCTGTCTGAAAATCAGCACCTTTCATACCTTGAATACAACTGGGCTCCCGGGGAGGGGGCACAGCGAGACTCCCAGGGGAAACGTCAGTACTTACTTTGGCAACACGAGAATCTGCACGATGAAGATGCAGAAGAAGATGAGGCAGGCACAAGTCACGTAGTACTTGAATGCCGGCAGGGCCGTGGCTCGGTACTGAAGGGAGACAGGAAACCAGGAGTCAGGTCTCTGCTGGAGGAGGGCTGCCTAGGGTGGCCGCTGCCTAGAGCAAGGAGCAGGACGGCATGGGACTGCAGGTCACAGCCTCCGGCGTCACACTTCCTCCCATGTGAGCTGCCATGACTTCCAGAGACCACCATTCATGCCCCAACTGTCTGGAAATGCATTTGTGTGCAACTGAATCACTGCCTTAAGGAGAGAGGTGCCTGGCTGGGAATCTGAGGGGGTGAGCGGAAGGAACCATGGAATTGTGCCTTTTGAACAGGGTCGAGGACACGCATTCCATTTAGCATTTCCTTTTGTCATTTATGTCACTGCTGCTTAGCTGAGTGGGCAGTGAAGACGTAAGGGGAGGCGTGTGGGCTGGCTCCTGGACATGCCCTTCCTTCAGGTCCAGCACCATCAGCAGGGGTGCACTGGGTTCTCCCAACCCTCCAGGACCATGGACTGACCACTGTGGCTGCCTGGCTGGGCTGCCCTCCTGACCTGTGCAGGCACATGGGCACTGGGCACGGGCGAGATGCGGTCTCTGTTGCACGTAGCCCTGGCCACATGCCCGCCTCTCCAGGGGCCCAGGTCCTGGATCACTCATCCTCACAACAGCTCACATGGCTGCAGCCACTGCTGTTCCTGGTTTGAATGAGGGGACTGCAGGGGGATTGTGTGACCACACGCTCAGGGAGAACCAGTGCACGAGGTAGCCAGGACCCCCAACTGGACTGGATTTAGGCTCCCATTCATCTACAAACCTACACTGCCTCCCCAAAGAGGGTTCATCGTAAAATTAGAGGAAATAAGATGGTGACGTTGTCACCATTGAAACCTCCCGAAACACTGTCCATTTGCATTCTCTCTCTCCCGAGTTATGGAGAAAGGCGTGCTGGGGTTGAGTGTGGAAGGGTGGACTCTGTGGGCCTGGTGATGTCTCTGGCCTTGTCTGGCTGCCTTCCCCCTTCCTGAGGGCCTGGAGTGCAGCTGGGGACGGCAGGACTTACGTTTCCATGCACTCTAAAAATTGCCTTACAGTTGGCATCTGCAAATATGTTCTCCTGGGGTAGGGAAGCAAAGGCTACGTTTTTAATGATAATTACCTTCTCTTTACTAGAATTTTTTTCTAGTGGCTTTTGTGACTGAATAGCCAGGATACTTTACATGCTGATGAAGAGGTCATATTAGCATAAATTCTGAAGTGTGATTACATCCTATGCATTCAATTACATGCTTGTCTTTTGACTTCTTCTGAGCTTTGTGCAGAGATGTGAGGTGCAATTTCATTTGGAATCAACAAGGGAAATGGACTTCTATCAGGAAGGAATAATGAATCAGTGAAGCTGACAGCCATTAGTATCTGTGACTGTCACTCCAGGCTCATGTGGTCAGTAAAACCCATTCTGTCAGGCGTCAGTTTGCGACACCATCTACATCCTTTACTTAGACGTAGAAATTTATTTTCTTGACCACAAACACAAAGGAAGTTTGCATGTACCTGTAATTTCCAACCCTGGTGAATTCTAGAAGAATTTTGATGCTTGATATTTTCATTTGATATCCATGAAACAATGAGTCTGATTTTCTAAACAGAACTTTAATGCCAGTGATGCAAAAACTGCCATTCATCACTTTTGCTCAAACAAAGTCTTTAATTCTAAGGTTGGATGAAGGAGACAACCTGTAAATCTTGTTCCTTCTCTGGACCCACAAAAAACAAAGGGCAGATGACTTAAAATGAACCTGGAAGAACAATCATCCTTCCCGTGTGACTGCTGAAGTCATTTAGCAAAGCCACGCGAAACTCCATGTGTAAAAATTAATCATCTGCTTCTTATTTGTGCCTGAAACAGCTCCTTGAAAGTCATAATGAGAAAATGTTTACATGCAACAAAACTTAAAAGTGTGGGTTGTCTAATTTTCCTGAACAGGTGTTGAAAGTAGACTCATTTTTGTCAAAAATATTAAAGCAATTTGTGTAAAGACATTGAAAATTCACCAGGGAGGATTTTGCTTTCTTTTAAAGCCTTTTCAGAGAAAACGTCACATCAAGGAAGCCAGGCATCAGCTGCTGCACTCCCCCTTTGCCCCGGATCTCAGACATGCTGCAGCCGCCATCTACTAGAGAGTGCTGGGCAGGCTGAGAGGCCAGAGAGGGAGGCCAAGTGGAAAGAGACACACTGAAGCACTGTATACACGAAAGAACCACCGAAGCCAGAGGAGTTCTGATAGAAGCAGCTTAAATGCCACATGCAAAAAACATGAGCCCCAGTTTATGAAGGAATTCAAAATTACCAATTCAGAAAAACCAATTGACTTTGAGTAAAAATAAATAAATAAGTAAATAAATAAATAAAAAGGCTTACTTCTTTCTCTAGGATTTTGTTATAGAAAAGCAGTGAGATTCTCTGAATGTCTTCAGACTTGAGCCATTGCCTGGAAATGAAAGGAACAGGCATCATGAATCCAACGCTCCAACCAAACATCTGGAACCACTTTTTATGAAATGACTTGCATTCTTCCTTGATTGTAAATCATCCCAAACTGAATATTTTTTTAAAAAATGTACAATTCCAACTTGTTGGATTTGGAATGCTGAGACTGTTAACAGGAAGTGCAAATATAGCATTTGCAGTTGCACCTGACCCTCCTTAGAAGGTCCTGTATTGCAAACCGACTGCCAGGTCAGACTGAAACTCAAGTTGTGCGGATTAAGCAACTAGGGAGATGTTATCAGAAGGATGCAAGTATGTCAATAAATTGATTCCCTGAAGTTTTCCTCAAGTCACATGGGCGCTTCCTCTCCACAGGGACTCAGTTCCTAGAGAACTGTCCCTTTTCTTGCCTTAGAGCCAGGAGCACATCACTCTGATCATCCTGAGAGCCAGACACCCTGGGGTCTAGGTGAGGAGATTGTGCCTCTCTACACTGTCTACACTTATCATTATTTAAATCCTGAGAAAGGAAAAATCATGTTCAAATGCAGTTTTAAACAATAGCTAAAACCTAACATAATGAGAATCTGCTGATGCAAACATAAACATATATGTATGGATCTATACCAACACCTGGATACATACATATGTGTTTCTCCAATGTTGGAAAAAAATAAGAATTACATGGAAGTTTATGTTCTTCCAATTGACCAACTTGTAGGTCTGTTTTAAGAAAGAGTTGTACATAGAGAAAGGATGCAAGGAGAAAATCCTTCACTAGAGTGCTGCATTATCCAATAAGCCACACGAAGACACCCAGCATGCTGCTGCAGAAGCTGGGTAAATGCCTGACACAGTCACACACTTAGCTACAAACTAGGTATGCACTCTCTGAAATAAAATAAGTAACATAGGAAACTGCACCTTCTTCTACCCATGAATGCAAGAATACAAAAAATTCCAATTCTGTGCATTAAAGAAAAGTACCTGGAAATGCTGGATGGGTTGTTAGTCACTGAGGAATTTATAATTTTATTATCCTCAAATAAAAACTTCTGGAATTTTGGAAAATATAGTAATCTTAAATATACACACATACGTATGTTTATGTCTATGCTTGCATACAACTGTATATATATCTATATTTATATCAACATCTATACCTGTATTTCTGTTTATCTACCAAGAACTCATATATTAGGACCTTAGAGTAAGACTTATGTTTTATGTAAATTTTCAAAAAATATTATACCTTGTGAAACAATTATTAATTCATATGAATTTCTTATGTAGCATTTTTTCAGTCACTTGGTCATATTTCTGAGGATGGTGACCTCCTGAGATGTAGTAGGAAGACAGAGGGTGTTATGGTTTAGATGTGGCGTCCCCTAAAAGCTCATGTGTAAAACAAGAAGGTTTGGAAGAGAAATGACAGGGTCATAGTCTTGATTCAATCAGTGAATTGATCCCTGATGGGATTAACTGGGTGGGGGCTGGAGGCAGGTGGGATATGGCTGGAGGAGGTGGTTCCCTGGGGCATGGCTATGGGGTATATATTTTGTATCTGGAGGGTGGAGTCTCTCTCCGTTTCTGGTCATCAAGTGAGCTGCTTCCCTCTGCCACACTCCTCTGCTGTGATGCTCAGCCTCACCTGGAGCCTTGAGCCGTGGTGCAGGACATGGATAGACTGAGACCTCTGAAAGGGTGAGCCCCCAAACAAACTTTTCCTCCTCTATAGTTGTTCTGGTCGGGTCCTTTAGTCACAGCAGCGACAAAGCTGACTAAACAGAAGGTGAAGGCCTTTGAGGACCAGTGGAAGGGACAGGTGACCATCAGAGGTGACCCTGCCTTCTGTTTGCAGGTGGGGTCTCTAGATGTGACTCACGTACAGCATCATCAGGACCTGTCCACTCAGGAGGCCAGCCCTCAGAGAAGGGGAGTCCCAGGTCTGCTTGAAGCCCCTGGGCCGTCCTCACACTGTCCCTGCCAGATGACACCCTGTCGACCTGGAATAACCCCAGGCTCAGCGATGCACGGTCCACTTCTCACTGAGGCAGGAAGTCGGCTATGTGTCTGTAATGATGTCCATTAAAGCGAGATGGATGCGAATCTGGATTTCATGTCATTGCTTGATTCAATGTTATAAACTTCATGTATCAGGGAAATAACATTTTTGGTATTTCTGACTATGGTACGAGATACAGAATTATATCATTGCTCTTTTATAGAGACTATTTGGAGGATGCAATGTCAACATACATCCTAGTGTCATGTATATCCAAAAAGAACAAATAAAAAAATAAAAATAAATTAAAAAAATAAAGGTCCAGAAAATAAAATTTAAGATAAATTTTAACCCTCTCACTTTAGAACTGTACTTTAATCAACCTATGAATAACATGTGCTGGACATTTGCTAAAAATGTTTCTTTTTCTTTATTGAAAAAGAAAAGTCAAATTTCAAAGTGCTCCTGGATACTAGAGCTGGGAAAGCAACTGAGTGCTTCAGGTGAAGTGGAAATGAAGCCACCCCTCATTCATCAGCAGCCCATGCTCCCATCTGGGCTTCTTCAGGTACCTGCGTCCTGCAGGTGCTCAGCAAGTGCTCAGGGCCAGGACTTCCCGTCCAGTGTCCCCAGCACCCAACATCCTGCTTCATAAGCAAGGAGCGCTTGGAGACATGACTGAATTCCAGCTATGGGTATATGGTATATTCTCTTTACCCACAGTGGTGAGTTTGATCTGTGGCTTCTCCCTTGAAGCATTAGGAGATGACCTTGTCTTAGAATTATGGAGGACATGCTCTTTTATTTGGCACTGGGCATGCTTAACCACTGAACAGCATCCCCAGCCCATATACATATATAAAATATAATACTTATTTTATATAATATATATATATACACACACACTTACATACACATATATAATATAATTTTGAGATAGGATCTTGCTAAATTGCTTAGGGCCTTGCTATGCTACTGTGGTTGACTCTGAACTCAAAATCCTCCTGCTTCAGCCTCTTGAGTCGCTGAGATCACAGGTGTGTGCCACCATACCAGCTCAGATTTTGGTTTCTATGTGAATTCTCTGAAGTGGCCTGAGTTTCAACTACAGACTTGTAAAAAATCAGAGATTTCATAATGTTCTTTGGCTGTTTGAAGTTAAAAACGATTTCTGGGGCTGGGGATGTGGCTCAAGCGGTAGCGCGCTCACCTGGCATGTGCCGGGCACTGGGTTGGATCCTCAGCACCACATACAAATAAAATAAAGATGTTGTGTCCACTGAAAACTAAAAAATAAATATTAAAAAATTCTCTTTAAAAAAAAGATTTCTGTTGGCTGATAAGGTCAAATATTATTTCTGGAAATGGGAACTATGGAGAAAGAGGAGAGGGGAGAGGAGGAGGGGAAAAATGTGTGTGTTATTCATGTTCTTCTGACATGTTCCCTGACACAAGTCGTCCACGGCATGAAGAAATCTAACCCCGTCCCTGTCCCTGGACTAGACTGTTAGTGATTCCCTGTTAGTTTATCCTAAGATACTTTATTTGGCCAAGGTCTAATAAAGAAAATTCTAGACAAAGTCCTGACTGGATGGGATGGGCAGAGGCCCACCCACATCCTCATGGAGGGTCTCTCTGGAGTATAGGAATGCAAGTTCTCACAGCCAAGGGACAAGGAAGTAGAAGGCCACTCTCTGCTGCTGTGGGTGGGAGGCTTGTGTTCTCTGCCCACTTCATGTGCTAAAGTCCTGACCTCCAGCGTGACTGTACTGGGAGATGTCCTCTAGAGCAATGCTTGAGGTTGAATGGGGCCACTGCACCGGGCCTTTCCTGATGGGGTTAGAAGTTATAGGACCACCCCTCAGAGAACTTTGGCCCTGCCCCCGTGGAGACTCGCCCAGGAGAGGCAGGCCTGCGTGCTGTGTGTCTCAGGCTGAACAAACACTGGCATTACTCATCTTTTTACAAATGCTTGATGAATGGATAAGTGAAGGAACAGAGGACAATCTGCAAAGAAGTCACTGGTTTATATCGAGAACAGAAAAACCACTGAATGGTGCCTCAGGCCTAGAGCCCCAGATCAGTCCTAAAGTCAAAATTAAAAGACCAGGGAACGCCGTAACAAAACAAGAGGAGTTAGTGAGTATTCTGTGGTGTTCCATAACCAAATGTTATCATGCTGATTAAAGGGAGATGCATAAAAGCTTCCATCTAGAAAATGTTCCTTTTACTTTTTGAGTACTGCCTGGACTTTTTTTTTTTTTTCTCTATTTGACTTCTAAAATATGTTGGGAAAATCATTAAAGGAGCAGTGACATCAACCTGAGATATGCGTTTAGAAGAAAAAGTATAAAGACACAAAGGTGTCAACTAAACATGAATTTGAATACTAAGGGATGCAAAGACAAAGGACCATTCAAAAGCAACCTTAACAGAACAAAGCCACAACTGAACTTTCTAAGGATTCCTTTAGAAGGAAAGCTCTACAGGTAGGTTCAGGAGGGCAGGAGTTTTGCATGAGCACAGACGGAGGCTGATATTAGAGGCCAGGTTTTTGATGTTGTATTATTATTGGCAGTTAAGCTTGGTCAAGATTTATTTTCTTCTAATGTCTTGTATTAGGTTGGGGGGTCACAGAGTATCAACTGAATGAGGTCCTTCCCCTGCATTAAATGGAATTGGATGCTTCCCCAGGTGTTAGCTACTGGTAGGACACAGGGAATCATTTACTTCCTGGTTTGTGATGTGTCAACATTTGGACTGGTGTGGAGGTGGTCCTGATGCCAGAGAAAGCAGTGTCTGTCTAGGCACTGCTGTGCGCCCCAGGAGCTCTGGGAGGTGGGAGGCTTGGTCTCCTGCAGCACAGGACGGCGATGGTCAGTGTGCCAGCACACCTGATTGGCAGCTGTTGACCAATCAGGATGCTGCACTGCATGGATTTGTATGCCTTTATTCTCTCTCTCTCTCTCTCTCTCTCTCTCTCTCTCTCTCTTTACATGTCATGTGATCTTTCATAATCTACGTGAATATTCTAAATATTTATATGGAACAATCTAGAACAGACATGTATTTTGCAAAGCCACACACTAACTGAGGCCCTGTAACTGTGTGTTGGTAATAGAGCGTTCTAGGTGAAAATAATTTATATTTTCCAAGAGTCGACTTTCAGGATAAAAATCAAGTAGGTTTCTATAAAGATGTAAACCTTTCTGGGATGGTTTTCAGGGAGTCCTACTACTGTCCACTATAATTCAATTCTACAATGATCCATCGAGTGTCTAATACCTGCCAGAACCATATAGAGTGATCTGCCTCCTGCTCCTCATGTTGCCTCTGTGCCAAGCCACCTCAGGAGAATGCAAAGGCAGATGAATGCCATCACTCGTCCCAGGCGAGAGGAGCTGACACTTCCTTTAAATTATTTTTTCTCTGCATCTCTTAGATCATTTAAAACTACAGCAGCAATTTTGACTTCGCAGGCTGAATGAATTAGCCTTCCTCCCACTGCTTACTGTGAATTCCAATTCCACCCGTCTCCCAGGATTGAGAACAGTGGGTATCTCAACACTCGCCAATTCTGCGGAGGAATCAACGCATTCTGAATGAACGGTGTCACAGGATACACTCTGCAGACTTCCCCATATGTAAGCCCTGTGAAGCTTTTATAAACATTGCTTGCTGAATATATGAGGCTGGAATGTTCTATGATGACTGGTCATGTTGTTTATTAGTAATTGACTTGGCAAATATTTTCCAGGAAGGGTTTGATTTTTTTAAAGATAAAAGAAATACTATTAACAAAAGCTATTAGGAAGGCCAACTGAGGTGCAATCAATTATTGCCTTAGAAAACTTGGTTCTGTCATGATAAGCATTGCAGAGCCTAGCATGAAACGTCTTTAAAAATGTGGCATTATTTTTAAACAATAGGGTTTTAAGTGAGGTCATGTAAGATGATCAGGTACTCACTTTTGTGCATTGATTCCATCAATTGCTTGGATCATTCTTTCGTTCAATTCTTCTTCAAATCTTTTCTTTTGTGACTTGGTTCTAAATGGAAAAGGAAACTCACGTCAGAGTATCTGTACTAAAGCGTGTATCAGGCCTATTTTCCTAGAATGCCCAAACTTCTGTTTAACATTGTTTATAAAGCCACAACAGGAAAAGGAAAGTGACCTATGAGCAGACTTTTCCCAGTTGACTCGAGTGTCTGGTTCAGTAAGATGTTGGCTTATCATTCAGAGAGTGAAATGCACCGGGCTTTGAAAAATCAATGCTAAACATGCATGCGTGGCATAGGAGATAAAAGAGCTCTCTCCCCTGAGATGAGCTAGCGCTTGACTGGCCGCCTTCGGGCTTTGCTTAACGGCAGAGTACACTAGCTCTGGAAACTCCCCTGTCAAAATCTGGTTGGTTTGATAAAATAGGTATTCCTCCCTCAGATTTTCCCTGGTCAGATTTTCAAGACTTTGCAGAAGTAGTTTTATTTCTGGCATATCGATGCTTCGTTGTATGTGTTTCAATGTTCCTCGGTTTGTAAAAGTGCTGCTCTCAGAAAACCCACCGACATGCATAGACTTGGTCTTGGAAGAAAAAAATTCTTAACTATGAGATGTTTTCTAAATGAATTATGCTAACTAATAGTAAGAGCTCCTTAAAGATAACTCGACAATCCTCACAAGAATGATGTAAAGGAGAAAACTGATCTAATATCTATTTTTGAAAGTTAAATATCTGCTGCAAAGGTTGGCAGCTCAGCCTGGCCCCCGCCAGCTGGCTGAACAAGGTGTGCCTCTGTCTTGGACAGGTGAAAATTTTGTGTGTTTTGGTTGGTTAATTATTAAATGAATAGACATTGTAATCTGGAATAAAAATATCACTTTTCTGGGATCAGAGTTGCCTCTCAATATAGATAAGAATAGCCGGAGGGGTGTAATGTCAAATTTATCATTTATCTATAATTAAATCTCTGGGGATGGTTGTTAATGAGATGAATGGGTTTTCAATCCCAGATCCCGTGTTTGTGGATTTGAACCCTCTGCTCCACTTAAAACAGGTAGAGGGCAGTCTCATTCAAAACCCAGAATAGTAGATGTGATCCATCCACAGATAGGAGAACTGAATTAGGAGGGTTTAGCATAGCAAATTCCAATCCTTTTGGATGAGATAAATTAATTTTAATCCTTCTTTTTTTCTTTTTGGTGCTGAGGATGGAACCAGGGCCTGGCACAAGCTCAGCATGTGTCTTACCATGGACACCAGATCCTTCACTCATTGTTAAAGAGCTACAAACTCAGCATCATAGCATAGCTCAGGCATTCTCCCTCATGGGTCAGGAAACCAAGCAATGTGAGGTACAACCTTTAGCCCTTGATTTTAACTTCTCAGTTCCAGAACTAGACTTCAGTTTTTTTTTTTTTAACTTCAATTTGGTGGCTGTGTTTTTCACAAAGTCTTTCAAAGTCTAAGAAGGAACCATCTGTACCTTGAAGCTAATAAAAATATGACATTCAGGCTTACAAAAGTTTGCTAATCTGCTTAGGAGCAGCTCAGATAATGCCTTTACAGAGACCAGCATCATCAGTGGACATATGACACAGTCAATAAAGGCATGTATTAGGCATCACTTGAATTCAGTAATTATCTGCACGAGGACTGTAACATGCCTGTGGTTTCCTGATCTATGATTGAGACCTTGGCTGTGGAGATAAGACATCCTGAGGGAAATCTTGACTGTCAGGAGATCTTGATCTATCAGCCAGGACTCTGTTCCTTGGATTTTTAGCACAGCTGATTTTCTGTCCCCACACCTGCCCCTGACCCCATGGTTGGTCTTCCAGTTGCTCTGCACCACAGTCTTTCCAATTTGTCACTCTTCTTTCTCTCAAGCCTCCTTCCCAAATCTGTTCCCCCCATACGTGGGCTATTCTATGAAGGTATGGAAAAGCCACATCTGCCTTGGGCCAGTTCGAGTCTCAGGGAAGTTTATGGGTCCATGTCACCAAGCCAGAAAGTGTCAAGAACCAGGTAAGTATGACCAGAGCAGCACTCTCTCCAGAAGGTCTGGAGGCCACTGGAGGTCAGCAGCCACCAAGGAAGGAGTGGAGAGGCCCTTAGCACAGCAGGTAGGACAGAATGGTGGTGAGGTATGTGGGCTTTGGAGTCACAGAGCCTGCACAGATCCTGGCTTCGTGTCCCCAGCACGTGCCTCTGGGCACTCTGCTCAGCCACTGGCCCTCGCTGTCTCCCCTTCTACAATGTGACTCCACAGCTCAGTGTGGACGGAAAGAGCTGTGGTCAACATGTTCCTGGCTGCGCTCATCCCAGAACATGGGAGTCCCCTGAGGCATTTCTCATCGTATTTCAATAAATAGACTCTTAAAGCAAAATCTAGGCAGGGGGACACAGATACCAAAAGAGACATTGAATGTAAAGTGTCAGGAAGTCGGGGACATTCTGGGAACCACGGCTCACACATTTACTAGCACATTACGGCCCTCGCCAAGGTATCTTCTGGGGTCCATTAGATTAGCTGAAGTGCTTTGAGTACAGTATAAGTCACTTAAAGATAATGCTTCCAAAGCGTAAGAACCCCACTGTTCTTATAGCATAAAGCACAAGGGCTGTAGCTGCTACATCTTCATGTTAAAATTTCAAAGTCTGCACAGAACAGAAGTTAGAACCGATGACTACCTATAAAGCCACACAGCAGCCTTCTGCAACAAGAGGCACTATGGCCATGCCTGGGCAGGTAGCCCTCTGCGTGTGTCCAGTTTCTACTTGATACAGGCTTTTTCTATAAGAAAGTACATCAGATCTCCCATTGTTCCTTCATTTCTGCAAATCTAGCCACGCCTCCCATGAACTGACGTTTGTGAGGAGAGGGAGGTTGCCTTCCTTACAAGCTTTATTCCAGCTTCCTAGTATTAGTTTGGTGAACTCCCAAACCAATTTATGGGAATGCTGAGGCCAAAAGCAGAACACAAGGTCAAAACTAGTAGTGCATGTGATTCTCACCGTGGGTGTGACAGGCACCTGTGAACACTTGTGGGGAGTTTCCTCCCTGCTTGGGGAGGGCAGGCAGCTCCTAATTCACTACAGAAAGACTAGACTTGCTTTAACCTTCAGGATTCAACCTGAAAATTGATTTTAAGCAACATACTCATTTTAAGACCATTCAATTTTTTACTGCGTATTGGTATGTAGAAGCGTCATTTTAGGAAAATAATCTAACATTCTAAGATGACTACCAGGTGTCACTTTCCTTTCCTTCTCGTAATTCTAATAACAAGACACTGAAAACCTTATTCTTAGAAGCTGGAAGCAATGTAACAGGGCTTTTCACAAGCAACTGCTCTTTTAGAAGAAGCCTTTGAAATGACTATAGTTGATGATAATTATTCTCAGAAATAAGAAAACAGCAGGAAGTCTTAAAAAGTTAGTCAAAGATATATATCATACCTTAAAGTGCGGTTTTGAAAATTATGCTGGCCCATTGGTACGTCCTATATTAAAAAGAAAAGTTTATTAGTTACTAAGAACATCTTTCAAGAAAAATGTTGCATTGATAATGATAAATTTCATATTTCTTCTTTAATCATGGTAAATATCATTTATGTAACAAATCACTGCCTGTGTGAAGAAAGAGCTCAATTGTAAATATGAATCAATATTTAAAGCCCTGTTCATATTTGCAGTGTGACATCATCTGTAAACTATAGATGTTGGAAGTATCAGGATCATCATCTGATTCTAAAAATTTTTATGTATTTATTTATTTATTTATTTTGGTGCTGGGGATTGAACACAGGGCCTTGTGCATGTGAGGCAAACACTACCAATTGAGCTATATCCCCAGCCCAAATTTTTACATTTTGATATTATGAATTTGATTTTAGACAATACCCTGCAGGGCACTATTACTAAGGTTACTATCAGCCACTTAAAATCATGTGAAAATCAGACAAACTAGAAGGTTCTTTAAAATACAAATATAACTGCAAAATCTACCATGGATCCTTATCTCTGAACTGAGTTGTTATGAAATGGTGCCATAGGCTATGTAGGTGGGGTTACGGAACACTGGGTGAGAAGACTTCAACAGAGGAGCTCTGAAGTTCCAGAAAGAGGTGTGGAAGGGAGGCACTGGTCAGAGTTCACTGATGGAGAACTCGATGACCAGTATTAGTTTAAGACAAGAGGAAAATAAGATCCACTTCTGAACATTTGTAAGTGAAAGTTGAAGCAAAGAAGTTTTGAAATTTGCGTTTGTTGCCTTGATTTCAAAGATTTGCTTAAGAAGTGTATCTAGACAAAAAATGTAAGACTTTTAAAAATAAGTGATTGCACTCCATGCCTTATTATGTAAGTTAAAACAATGCATTATTCAACACAGAGTGGATGGAATTCTGCAGAGGGGATTAGATAAAAGAAATGGCAGTTGTTCCGGCCTGGAATGAATCAGTAAGAACTACAGTGGCATCTTTTGGAAAATGAGTAAGAGACACAGTTCAGTAAAATTGGTCCTGGCTTTGCACATTAAGCAGACATAGAACTTTCTTAAGATGTCTGTACTGATTTCTGCTAAGGTGATAAAAGCCTTGGCACTGAACCCATCACAGATGAGACCAGAGAGCTAAGAAAATTGCAAAATCGTGCAAGAGGTCCTCCAGGTTGTGCACAACTTCTTGTAACTGGAAGCTGTTTCCAGCCCAGTCTTAGATCAGGGATTTTCACCAGTATTGTCTCAAGACTGAACTCATTCCTGCAGTCCCACAGTCAGATAATAAAGGAGATGATCACTCTAAAGTCAGAGAATAATAAAGATTAATAGGAAATAAGCAATCATAGCAAACACACACACACACACACACACACACACATTCAGAGAAGTAAGACCTTTTCCTTGACAGGTATACAAGAGAAACTACTTGGAAAACCATGGGCAAATATTTATAAATTATTATTTCTTAAAAATCAACCAGCCCACCAAGTAATTGAAGGCAAACAATAAGTCTCTATGGAGACTGAGTTATTGGCCCCGAGCACAGATCATAAATGCAATACTGAGGCAAAATTTTCCAAATCATTGCTAACCATAGCAGTATGAATTTTCATTGACAATTGGGTACTAGGGTCACTGGGTAATTTTGCTAACAAGTGTAAATTCTTCAAGGCCCCAGGAGCCCCAGGGCTCTGCTTGGATCACTTGATGATTCCTTCTGCTTCCATGGCCTCCAACATAACCTAAAATGGTCCTCTCAGCTCATCTCTAGCTTGGACCTTCCTTCCCTAGGAGCTCCTGACGTGCTTTTCCAATCATCTGCTTCCCTCCTGCACTTCTTAAAAAGGTCTACCAATTTTAAGATGCCCATTAAAAAAGTTTTGAGTTTTCCATCTTACGAACCCGACCTCATCCTCCTATGCATCGTCTATTCCCATGACACCACCAGTCTCTCAACTGCAGGGTTTGCTGCTCCCTCTCACACAGATCCTATCCGACACCAGGTCTCTGTTACTCAGCTTTCAAATTAGACCTTGAACTTACTCCTTCAGCTGCTGAAACCTGAGCATAGAAGGCATGGCTCCCACTTGGAATCCCTGCACTCTTGTTCTTTTTCCCAAGCATTGATCCATCATGCTTCTCCCTGTTCCAGATCCCCCACCACTTCCCCTTACACTGAGAAGAAGACATCAGCTCCTGACCTTAGCCTGTTCCCTCCCAGTGACTTTGGTTTGCTCGTTGCTAATAACTCTCTGGTACCCAGCCTCCTCTGTGCCCCCAGCAGATGGTACAGTCATTTCATCTTGGGGACACTGAGTTTGCTCCCCTGCCACCTCTGTCCTAATTTGGTCCTGTCTTTCCCCGAGACCTCCTAGCTGTCCCACCCTGTTCACTTCCAATGACATCACCAATTTCAACTTCATGGTGGTCCTCACCAGCATCTGAAATGATCCTACTCATTAAATGTCTTCCTACTCATGATCTTTCTTTGCCTACAAGGATGCACACTAACCCTTATCCTGGCAGTATCCCCTGATGCCTAGCTGGTGGGCAGTCCATGTTGGATCACAGTTTTTTTTTTTTTAATTTAAAAAAGGATGGAGACAAGTTGAGAAAAGGTATAATTAAACAAAACAAGAATGCTTGGCCCCTATTGATTGGGGTGTCACTGTAAGATGCTGGGGGTGGGGCAAGGGAGAGCAGAAGCTTCACTTTCCTATGACAGCCTGGCATGGTGCTTGGCACCAGCCAATGAGAATTACGTAATTTCTTTCTTTCTTTTCTTTTCTTTCTTTTTTTTTTTTTTTTAACTCAACTGCATCCATTAATGCCATTATACATGCAACTGTCCTCAGGGCTGATTTTAGGATCCAGTCATACCATTGGTACTTTCTGAGTGCCTGGCTGTGTTTATTTTTCCCTGCGTTTGTTGGTCCACTGCCCATCTCCCTTGCAGCTGTCCTACTGTGCACGTCCCTGACCTAAGGGGCTCCGGAGCTTTGCTCTCATTTGGAAGCTACAGTGAAGTGAGCACAGAGCCCCGGCAGTGGAGTGTGTGTGGCTACACAGAAGGTCCGAAAGCGCAGGCCTGGCACAGTCTTGGTAGTGCTGCTTAAGCTGGAGCATACCCTGTCTTTATCTCTGTATAGAGACGCTCAATGCTTTCTGCTTAAGGACACAAAAAGGAAACTGCCGAAAGAACAGCTCAGTTACAGTTGATTGCTATTATCAGTTGTAAAGGGTCATACAGTTGAAGGGCAAAGTCACTGTGTGTTAGAACCTGAGCAATGTGGCCTTGGAGGTCACTTGCAGGAGGATGGCAAGCCAGCTGCACTGCAGACTAGAGCTATTCTGGCAGAGATGCCCAGCTTTTTGTTGGGGAACCCAGCTCTTCCCCAGCACCTAGTGCTTTGGAGGCAGCGGCGAGCTCACCGTGGTGCTGATCTTGCCGTTCTCGGTGGTCATGCTATCCCTGTGATGCAGATGGGCGAAGGGCTTGGCCGCGCCCCAGGACTCCAAGTACCGGGTCATGCGGACAGAGGCCCTCATCTTGGCTCCGTCCAGGGTGTGGCGAGGCCTGAAGAGGTGCTGGGGACTCCGTCGCTCTCCCTTGGGACAGGAGACAAAGCGTCACACCGGCTGCACCACAGCCCCGTGCCTACCTACTCCTTCCTGCTCCACCCTCTCTTGCGGACCCAGCTCCTCCCGCACTGCCCAGCGACTCTCTTTGGCTTCTGCACTCAACCCCTTCAGTGGGACGCCCCTGTACCTGACTACCTGAGCTGAGCGACTTTATTCCAGAGAGTAAAACTCACCTGCCATTGTAAGTTAGGAAAAAAACTATAAATGCAATAATGGACATTTTTATAAAGTAAATTCTTCAACAGAACGTGCTGATCTGCCCCGGCTTTTTCTCATGGTTGTGTTCTTCTGAAGTGGTAGCTGGCTTTGGGGTGTTCCTCATGCTAAGCTGCCTTCCATGTACGGGGTGTTCTTTGCACCCAACTTTGCATCCCTCTGTCACCCCTCAGCTCTGCTGCTTCACCTCATCTACCTCCAGATAAATTGTCAAGCCAGCTGGAAGTTTGTCTCCCAAGGGATGCGATGCGATCATGAATGAAATCCACCAACTTGATCTTGATTTTGAGATATTGGTTTTCATGGTTCAGCAGTCTTTCTTGCTGAGACGTCACCCTTTGCTAGCTGTGGGAGTTGGGGACTGTTACATAACCCCTCGGATCTTCTGAGTCTTCTCTCTAATGTGCTCACTTGGCAGGAAGTGAGAAGAGTGAGCAGAGCCCAGGGCTCCGAGCCCCTGGCTCCGGCCTGACCTGGTGAGGGGAGCTCCTTCCTGCTCCTAGGGCTGGCCCGTCTTCCAGGTGACGGGGTTCTGTCAGTGAGCAAGGCAACATGTAGACCCACAAACGCACATTCTCACCCAGATAGATGCCTAAGATCTGCTAATCTTAAAAATGCCTCCTCCCTTCCTTTTCATTACGTCCAACCTCTTTCATCTCGTTGGATTTCTGCATCTTTTGAAGGCAAGAGTAAAATGCTTTCTCTTAATTCAGCTTCTCCCCCCATGCTTCTCCAGGCTGCACCCCTTTGACCCCTTCGGGGCAGCATCCACTGTCGTCGACACTGGCTGACAGGGACTGCAAACACAGCCGCCCACACCAACACCCTGTACCCCCACCCGCCACACACAGCCCCCATGGTGCCCCCTTAATAAACACCTGAATTCATTATTACATAACATCTCTCAGGGCTGAGCCACTAAATGCGTTTGAAGTCATTTTTGAGGCAAAGACTAGCAAGGAAAGAACTGGTTCTTAACTAAAAGCATCTATACCGATAATTTGCCCCTCCTCCCTTTTAATCACAGAAATAAAAGGCCAATCATAGACTCTTCATAATGGTACTGACCTTGGGGTTGATTACGAAGTAGGTTTTCACCAGGTGCTGTTTTAAATAGGGGTCTCTGATCTCACCATCTCCCTCCTCCACTTTATAAGCTCCATTCAAGTGCTCCAAGGTGACAGAGGAAATGTGAACACGCCTGAAATTCCACATTAAAAGCCCAGTCAAGATATGAAAGGACAAATGTGAACAAAGGGATGCTACTTGTCTGTGATTTCAGCAACAATTTCTCCCCAAATGAAGGAGACCAACATGTTCTTGGGGGACTGACTGTGACTAGAGCTACACTCCATCCACCGCTGCTTAGGACGGCTTCCTTGAGGCCTTGAGCTACTAAGACCTGAGGCTTCTCTGCACTCACAGAATCCTGCAGGGGGGGCTGCAGTGAATTACAGCAGAGAAAAAATGTGATCATGTTGAGTGCTTGCATGTGAGGCTCTCTTCCAAGGGGTTTAGCAGAAATGCTGAGCAGTATCAAGTGTGGACTCTCGTCTCTGGGCTTCTGCTCATGGCTCTCCAAACCACTGAGGCTCTTTTGTGCATCTTCTAACAAAGATGAGTGGGTGCCACAGTGATCATTTTGATGGCGCTGCTCTCCCAGGCAGTGTCCAGCCCTGGAGAGACACCATGTCTAGACTGCATTTTTACAATATCATTATCTCAGTCTCTGTTCATAAATAAGCAAATGTGTAAGGGTTATAGTTAGGTATCTGATACCCATAGTCCTTGCTGTTGATGGAATAAAGACTTGAAAGTCTGAGTTTCTGTTTTCATTTCTTTGTAGGGTTGGGCTTGGAACCCAGGACCTTGCACATGCTAGTCAGGGCTCCACCACTGAGCCACATCCCCAGTCTGAGAATTCCTGTTTATCTAATTATTATAAGAAGCCACTGGACATGAGTTTTACGTGACACCAGTGTAGCAAGAGAAGCCATCAAGGACGGAGCAGGTATGAGTCTGTTGACCTGTCCCTTCTAATTGTGCTGCCAACTTGCAGACAGAAATCCGAGGTTTGGCCTTACCCGGGGACCCCTCCAGCTTCCATGTGGTTGGCCAAGGTGACGTCATGTGACCACACGTCATACTGCCACTTCTGCAGACCAATCACACCGCACAGGACGTTCCCTGAATGCACTCCCACACGCATGTTGATGTCAACTCCAGTAGCATCCCTCACTTTCCTAAAGAGAAGGGAAGTGGTATCACATTCAGTCACATCCTCTTCTGACTTCACTCTTGGCCAATTTCCCTGGCACCTCATTATTCAGAATTTTTTAGGTTGTCAGAAATGCTGCCATGAATTCTTCCTGGGCGGAAGATGGCTGCTCTGAGCCAAGAGGAAGGGCTTTTCTTCTCAGCAGCTCCCAGATTGGACCCCTAGTTCTAATCTCTGGCTGGTAAAGGCAGATCAGCCAGATCATGGTGATGACCAAGCACTTGGTTCAACAACATGCATGAAACTCCTGGTTATCCAGTGCTGCCCCCTGCTGGGCTCACCACTGCCTCAGAAATGGTGTCAGACTCCATTTGCAATTCTAGTGCTTCCTGGGGTGCAGGCTCCCAGTGAATACTCTGCTAACAAGAGAACTCAACACAGCTTATTTGAGAGTTTGGTAATGACATTAGCTTGAATCAAGATTTTTTAAAAAATCACGAGATTAAGCTTTTTCAATTGTGCATATTCTTAATTAAGAAGAGAAGAAATACTATTGAAAAGTTTTAATAATGCATGACATATCCTGCAAAAGAAATTAATTTAAAAATTTGTTTTAAACACACTTTAGGGCTTTATGACTAACTCATTAACAGACAAGTGAAGAACTTCACTAGGGAAAATGGAAATGCCGGGCAACGCTTCTTCATTTCTTCCAACTAAATCCATTTTTCACTTAAAGTTCTGTTGTAAGAGAAGAGGGCAGGAAGATGACCCTGGTGCATGGGGGAAAGCAACCCCAGAGAAAACGTGGAGGAAAGCCACAGGTCTCAGTGCACACAGCGAGGAGAAAGAGACTGAGTCCTAGTGAGACGCATCATCAACATCCCGAATGGCAAGTGGCACAGGCCGGGCCCTGTGATGACCTGCACCACTTGGGCATGCCAAAAGTGATAAAGGAAACAGGCCCATGAGGGGAAAATAAGTGGTTTCCTGGGCGGGGGAAGTATCCTTCCACAGCTTAAAAAGTTAAGATTCTAATATTCATCCCCACCCATGGTTCAAGAAGTGAGAACACAAATGAGAGAGGAAATGGGACAAAGAATCATGTGAGAGGCCACCAGAGTAGATGAAGGGTGCCTGGGACTTGTGAGATGCCCATTTTGTCCCCAGCATTATTGGAAGTGTGACCGGACAACCTGTTGTCAGCCACAAGACAAGAAGGTGACACGCGACAGAGGAAGGAAGCTGAGTCCCTTTGTCAGTGGGTGACAGGTCACTGGGACACAGAGCCATGGTATGACTTGAAGACTGAGGCGAGCAAGTGCTGGGGAGTTTCCTCAAACCTGCCAACGTGGCTGAGGGCGCAGACACGGTCAGACAGGGCCGATGCTTCAACCATGAATGGACCAAGGGAACACGGCCGTGTGTCTGCATGAGGGAAGGCTGTCCTGCCAAGAAAGCCCTGTGCCCAGGGAAAGAAACCAACACCAAAGGACAGACACTGCACGATTCCACTCCTGGGAACCACCTAAAACAGGCAAATCCGAGACAGCAATCAGTGATGGCCAGGGGCAGGGAGGGGGCTGGGAGTCACTATTTTCAGGGTGCAGAGCCTCTGCCTGAGTAGTCGAAGGTTCTGGAGGAAGTTGTCTGCACAACAACTGAGTGTGCGTATGTCAGTAAATTGCATATGTGATATATATATATATATATATATATATATAACCTAAATATCTCAATATATAGAAAACAACAGGTGACATAGACATAAAATAATGTAATAAAAAGGCATTTCTTATAAACTGGGACAAGCCATGAGTATTCTTCCCCTGAAAGCTCTTCAGCACACTGAAATAACTTTATGTTATACAAATATAAAATAGTTAATTTGAAAGCAGAAATCAAGCTCCAGAGGAAAAAAATGGATAGTTTAATTCAAAGTTGTTGATATGCATATTTCTGCCCTTCATGAAAATCCTTCCCACACTTGTTTGGAAAGAAGATCGAGAAAGATACTTTTCTTCTAGGAAAGTGCTTTCCTCCAAAAGAACCCATTTCACCTTGAATTTGAAACCATCCCTGAGGTTGCCTCCAGAGCAGGTTATAAATTTAAGAAAGCACTTCAGTTCCACTGATTGGATTCATGTCTACCTAGACACATGGAGTCAGAGCGGTTACTTTAGAAAAAGGTCAAAACGATAGTTTTTGTGCACCACGCAAAGGACTTATTTATGGGAATAAGCAAGTAGAGAACGGTCATTTTCCACCAGCACATGCGGTATAGGGGAACGGAGTCCACAGTGACTACTCCCCCCTTCTCTTTTACTTCCCTCCCATTCCCGTTCTGCCCAGTGATGTGGATAGAACATGCAGGTCTCTCCTCCCCTCAGGGAGACCGTGCCTCAGGGGCTGAAGCTGGGGCTCCTTTTACCTTCCTGGGTCAGCACGCACCTGCTAACATTTTAGTCACTTCAACATGTGGTCAGCACACACGATGGGCAAGCACAGTGACCCCTGGACTTCCTACTTTCCACTTGGCCTTACTTGCTCTAACCTTGAGACAAGGAGCTAGAACATCGAGTACTTTTTTCAAGTCTTTTCAGATTAAAAAAACAAAACAAAACAAAACAAAAACTGTGGAGGGTAAGAAAAAAGCCTCTTGACTGAGATGACTCGAAAATAAAATGTCCATAAATTATGCAATCGGCAAACAAAAGATATTATCATTTAAGAATAGCTTCCACAAAGGGCTAAAGAAAGATGATGGTATTGCCAACAAAAATCACCTTTTACCTTTTGTTTTCCCTGTATCTGCCAATGGTGTTGATATTAGTATCCAATGCAAACCTTCTCTAGATGTACAAGGAAATAAACTATAGACATAATGCAGACAACAGATATTGATTGAAACTTCATTCACAGAGCTGAGCATTGTTGACTAAATGAAGAAATTCTGGATTGCATTTTATATTAATTGCAGTCTTTGATAAAAACCACTTTTCTTTACGGTTTATGTAATCATATTTTTCATCAGAAATTGGAGAGATGCCACAGTGCAGATTTTTCTCCTTGAGATCAAAGAAAATACTCAGAAATTTTAAAAATCACCTTTGAAACAAACAAAATAGCGTCTTCCCATAAATTTCCAATTTAGTTTCCATAAGACTAATAATGACAATAGAAAAGACTTACAGAAGTTTTACTTTGGACTGCACTACTCACATACCAACAAATGGGTAACTGCATATTTATATTTAAATATACAGCAATGCATTTAGCAACAGTAGACAGAAAAATAGAAATAGATTCAGGTGAGAATTACAACTCAAAATGGTTAAATGTCAAAGAAAAAAAAAAAAACCTTAAACAGTACACTTACTTTATGGCTTCACACATATCCAGTCCCATTTTCACGCAATTCTTGGCATGGTTAGGGAGAGAGATAGGAAGTCCGGAAACACAGTAATAGCAGTCTCCTAAAATTTTAATCCTCATGCACTCATTCTCCTGGAAGAAGAAATCACAGAATCCATTTGCACCATACACTGGTGTGATGATTCAGTCACCGGATGCCATCCAGCGCTGGTTCTACTGACACGGCCCCGGGAGATGGGGCAGGTGGGACCAGAAATGAGAACTCAGCTTCCCTTCCCTGACCAGCAAGAATGGCCGACCCTCACCCTATGCTCATTCGGAAATAAGGACGACCAAGGGGAAGAGGAAGAAAAAGGAGAACAGAGAAAACTTCCCACTTAATTAGAAGCAGAGGAGGAAACAGTAGGATCATTCTCTTCAGTTTGAACATCTCCACACATGGAGGGGGAAATAAAGCATTTGATGCAGAGCAGAATCTTTCAGAGCAGAGGGTGATGGCCAGAGTTCAGCTCGGTGGGACTTAAGAATCGTATGTCATTCTCCGTTAGGCTGTGGTTTTCTTCATTAATTTTAAACCTGAAGCCGATTGTTACCTGTAGACACCAGCATCTGATAAACATCTTCACAACCTAATAAGCCTCCATTCAACACCGCCACGTAATTTAAAATTCAATTCCGATTTTAGGCTAAACTGTTTCAATATAAAGTTTGAACAACTCATTTTTTCATGACTTGAGTTGTTTTTAGATTAACTACACTCATATATGCATCAATCTTACCTCCCATCCATTTCTAACCTTTTCAATCAGCATATAGGCTCTTCAGCAAAATAAAACAAGAACCAAAGATGTTCCCAACACAAAATTTTTCCTTTGATGCTAATACAGGTTTGTGTATAAACTGAACAATTTCAAACACCATCAGAAACATGACATCTTTTTCCTTTTGAGCATGAGTTAGATTTGACATATTTCTTTCCCCAATATTTGAAGATTTGACATATTTCTTTCCCTAATAGCTCACAAGCTGTGACATATTTGTGTGCTTATTTATAGTACTATCAATTCCAATAACAATATCATAAATAAGAAAAAGGCAAACAATTACTTATTAGCCAGGCTGCCCTCCCACACTCCCTAAATAGACATCCTGGGTGTAGAAAGCATGAGGGTTAGCAAGAGTGCATGGCAATGGTTTTGAGTCTGCTGGCTTAAAGTGATGAGCTTCACACACTGTTTGCTCAGTTGTCTGGGCTACCTTTGCTGATGGCACTCTCTATGTCCATGTTGTCCAGCTGTGAGTCATGAACGGGTGTCCAAAGTGGGCTGCCATTTTGAACTACAATGGATGGACTAAGTGTAACCAGGCTGGACTCAGATTTTGCCTAGACATTCCTCTGTTCCTTTGGTTAGAGGAAGTCACACTGAGTACCTCTGCTAAGCATCATCAGTAGCATTCTCCCAAATTCATACATGACATTTGTCCCAATACTTGGGTCTGATCTTATGTGGCCATAGAATTCATGCAATTAGTTCAGATTAAGTCATACCGGAGTAGGGTATGCCCCCTTTTCCAATATGACTATTGTTCCTACAAAAAGGGAAAATGTGGACCCTGAGACTCACAGGGAACAGAGAATATCCTGTGGACAGTGGTGTCATGCTACCACCAGCCACAGTTGGGATGTTTCCTCCTGCCATGACCAGGTGCTCCATGACCTCTTGTTAATGAAAAACTGTAGGTTATTGTTTAGGTTTCAGCTTTTCTCTTTCCATAAATGACCACCTATAAAGCTCAGCCCTTCCTTGGGTGGGTGAAGGAGGCAAACACAGCGATTATCTCACTGATTTTTAAAAGTCCCCAGTGAGAGCTGCCAGGCAGCCTAGGGGACAAACTTGGGAAGCTGCACCCAAGAGTGATTTTGCCAACATCTGCAGTTGGCAGATGTCCTAAGACACTTGGCTGGAATGATCTGTATTGTTAAAAAGTGAGCTCAACTGCACATCAAACTAAATTTAGGACCATCCCTTCCACATATAAGTAACTGATAAATAGGCATAATGGATGATTTTTTTTAGAACAACTTATAGAATTAGGCTGATTGGAAATGTCTTATGGGAAGGAAAGAGCTGCAAGTCTCACAAGCAACCCTCCAAGTTCCAATAAGCAAGGTTCAGGGCAGTTTTAGATAACCTCTATAATCTCCTATGTGAACTTTCCCACCTGCAAGACATGCCAGGCCAGCCCTGAACTTGCACCTCTGCACAAGTGGCTCACCAGGCCAGGAGAACACGAGGTGGAAGTAAGTGCAGGGCTTGCCCAGGGTATTGTCCTGTTTTAGGTGGTCTCCAGGATCCCATTGACAACATGAGCACAGGGTAGCTGTGGTGGGTAGATGAGCTAGAGTGACCTCAGCAGCCCCTCTACTTGGAAATGCCCGCAGGAGTGGCCCCCCAAGAGCACCGGGCCCAGAGAACTGCAGTGGAATCTCCTTGTGCTGAATGAGCTTATCACGTGGCGCTGACGAACACACAAGCAGAAGCTTCAAAAATGGGTGAAAACGTGAGAATCTGAAGCCACGGCATTTCATATTCTGAATACGGGCTTGAGACTCATCAAGGCTCAACCGCAAATAAAACCAGCCAGTTTTACAATCGACGTTCCCGAAGGGTGGTTTTTTGAAAATAGTGAGATATGGAGAGTGGGATGGAGGGACAGGAAGCCCTGCTCACCTTGGCGATCTGGTCGAACTTCCCAAAGAGCTCGTTCAGCATGTGCACCAGCTCCCCCGGGGAACAGTCGCTGGCCAGCCGCGTGAAGCCCACGATGTCGGCGTACAAGATGCTACGGGAACACGGGGTGGGGACAGACTTAAGGCTTGGCATTTGCTAAGAAAATCATGACAATGTTTCCATTACAAGAGTATAGTGACTTTTATACTTTGTATTTTCATGAGAAAGATGTTATTTTCTTGGAGAGAGAATGTATAACACTTTTGTTAAATTGCCCATTTAAGTGCTTTCTTAGTATCCGGTTTTTGTAGTTAAAATGAAGAATTACTAGGGAGAGAAATCCCACCTCACCCATGCGCCGTGCTGACCTGGTCACCTTTCCTCTATGTTTATGATGCCTATCCTAACTTCCATCACACCTGGGAAACTCTGGTGACGAACTCAGCATGCTACTACTTGTTATATATACATGATGTATATATAACACTCCTAAGGTGGGAGAGGCAAATAGTAAAACCCAATCCTGATTGGAGTGCTTCAAAGAAATAAAATGGAATACTGTTTATTTATTTGTTTATTTATTTACTTATGGTACTGAGGATTGAACCCAGGGGACTTTGCCACTGAGCTATATCCCTTGTCCCTTATATCTTATTTAGAGAAGGGTCCCACTAAGTTGCTTGAAGCCTTGCTAAGTTGCTAAGGCTGGCTTTGAACTTGTGATCCTCCTGCCTCAGCCTCTTGAGTTGCTGGGATTATAGCTGTGTGCCACCAGGCCTGGCAATAATATATTTTTTTCTTTTTTTAAAAAGACTACTTATCAAGTGATTCTGGAGTACTTGCCACCTGCCAGGATGAAGCAGACACGGGATTTCTTCCTGATCTCAGAGTTCAGTAGGCTTGGTGCACCCAGTGAACGAAGGCAATAAATGTCTGCCTACACTCTGGATAAGCTCTATAAAGGAACATGGCAGAGAGCCGGGAAAGAAAGCTGGGGCTGTGTGGATTACTTGTTGAGGAGTCCAGGGTCGTCACTGTGGGGACTAACTGCATGGTCCCCTCCTGGGAGGAGCAGAGGGTGGAGGCTGCTGTGAGATTGCCCAGGCCTGTGTACAGGCTTAGAACAGGGACACACAGCAGCCATGTGTGTGACACTACCTTTCCTACACAACAGCAGTTCTCTGACTTGTGGAAAGTTCTTATAAAGAAACCTAAATTCCTCCTGGTGCTTGACATTGAGATGGAATATGCTCTGGCTTAAGAAGCACCATGAAAGAAAGAAGCACCATGAGCATTTCATAGTCACTGTTGTGGCTCTTGAATAACAAAAGCAACACACAGAAAAGAACAGGGCTGGGCACCTGGAGAAACTGCAAACTTGTACTTTGCTGGTGTAAAGGCAAAGCCACCAGAGAAAATGACATGCTCACTCCTCAAAGCACTCGACTGAATAGCAGGGGCTTCAGCAGTCCCACCTCTGGGTGCACATTCCGCAGCTCTGGAATCAGGGACTTGAACAGACGTGCACACAGACCTTCACAGCTGCTCTGTTCACAACCGCTGAGACAGCAGTAACCTGAATGCTCATCAACACATGAATGGGTAGACAAAACATGGTGTATACAGAAAAGGGGAGTGTCAGCTGGTAAAGGAAAGGAAATTTCAACACACGCTGCAACACTAGAAGACATCGTGCTAAGTGAGAAATGCAAGGTACAAATGGCAAACAGTGCATGATGCCTCCTATGTGAGGTCCCCAGAGTAGACACACCACAGAGAAAGCAAGCAGAATAGGACCACAGGGGCTGAGGGAGGGGTGTGTGGTCTTGTTGCTGAACAGGGACAGATGTTCAGTGTGGAGTGAAGAAAATGTCCTGGGGTAGAGGGTAGAGATGGTTGCAGGACATTATGCATGTGTTTAATCTCACCAAACTGTACATTTGAAATGGTCAATATTTAAATGTTATGAATATTTTATCCAAATAAAAACAAGTCAAAAAATAATATAGCACCAAGCAGCAGGGGCCCTGCCAGATCAGGGCAGGACCTCCACTCCTTGAGCTCAGCACAGGCTTTGGCTTCACCTTGAGAGATGGACAGCAGCACAGGAGACTTCTGATAGTTCTAGGAAAACCAAGGCTGTGGGGTGCAGCTCTCCATTCTGCCCAGATGACCCCTAAATCCACTCCTACCTCTCCCATGGTCATATGTAGAGGCAGGCAGGCATGGCTGACCCTGAGCTACGGTCCAAAAGGAAGGATTAAGTCTGCCCATCCAGAAAGGAGCGTCTGACCCCCAAGCAGAATCAGGAGGCAGCTGACTCTACTTCCTCTTGTTCACGAGTCCACAGTGCTTCCTGTGGTCAAGCTTGGGTGGTCAAAGCAGCCCTGTGATGAGTGAGCTGTAGATACCTTAGGCAGGTGTACAGGTTATTTGGCAGCAGAAAATTCTAAAGAAATAAGCAGGCTGGCAGTTCTGAAATGTTCACGATTGTGACCTAATGTGCAAAGAAGTATAAGAGAAGACCAGGGTACTGTGGGCCACACAGGAAGGAGCCTGGCCAGGTCAAGCCTCTTGTAAAGGTCCCTCTGTCTGTGCATCCAGAAGCAGGCAGGTGAGTTAGGACCATTTCCCTGGAGTCCAGAAGGGCCCTGTGGAAGGGCTTTAATTGTTTATAGTATGGGGCAGTGGAGAGAAGCAGACAGATGTGGAAGGAGAAGGACCCCATGTTGTTATTAATTGGATGTTGGTGGGATCATCTCGGAAAAGGAAGCGCGGAAGATGAAGACGAGTTTCTGGCTGTGAAATGGGGTTTAGGAACCCAGGTTTGCACAGATCACAGCAAGCTCTAGGGGAGAAGGCTAGTTCATCGTGGGTTGTGTTATTCTGATGGTGCTGCCTTGGACACCCCAAGCCTGGGTAGTCCTGTATCGGTCATGTCTTAGCCTCATTTACAGGGGGAGGGCTGGAGAGAACAGAGGAAGCTGAGAGTTTGGCAAGTTAGTTCTGTGGCCTGGGGGTTCCTGAGATGGCGACGACAGCAGGGAGAGAAGGCGAGGGAGGGCATCAGAGAGTGCAGCAAACTCTAGGATTTGAGCTAGGAGAGAGAAGGAGTTAGAGAGGTGGACGGTGCATGAGATTAAGGAGGTGTGCTTGTTCCTGCTTTATTGATTTTACTGAACTTTTTAAAAGTTATGGTTAGTCTGTGAACATTTCAGAACTGATGGGCAAGACTCAGGGAAAGGCCACGGAGAATCAGGACGCAACAGCACAGTGAGGTTTTACCCTGATGCCGTGTTATTATTTTTCTTTAGAGAAAAAAAAAGTAAATACTATTAACAGAATAAATTTTTTTTCTTGAATGTTTTAGTTCCTTAGTTCTGACTTGACTGATTTCTCTATAATCTATTTTCCAAAGTCAGTTTGTTACTGTGTGTTTACATCTTTGTATGCTTGGGTCATGCATACTATTGACTCTGTAGAAGTTTTCTAAGATCTGACGTCAAGTTAAACTTATCCTTGCAATGCATTTAGATTTTAGTTAAAGTTTATTTTCATCAAAGCCTTGACCTAAAGCAGCTGGTCCAAGAGGCAGCTGCCTGAGGTGGAGAACCTGGACTCAGGGGTACACTGGCCAGATCCCAATTCTTGTAGATGCTCAAACAATTTGTGGTGATGTTTGAACTATTGATCAAGCACCCTCTCTGACAACTCAGCTAACACCACCAAAGCACAACAAATGAGGTGGAGACGTGCACAGGTTACTTACTGAGATGACTATTAACCTAGCATAGAAAGTACCACATCAATCAGTGAATCAAAGAACAAACCCCCAAAATAAGAGGTACCAGAATGGGTGGGGCATGGAACCCAGTGATGGACCTGGCTCTGCAGGGAGAGGAGTCCCCCTATGCAGTTTGAGATGAGGGCCCCTCACAGATCCTCTCTAGAGGTCAGGAGAGATGGAAGCCTCAACATTGTTCTTATCCTGTGAGACGGAATGTACTTTGTTGAGCATCTACTGGGACAGGGATCAGCTGGTGTGCCCCCGGGTCCTGGCGCTGCCCCCTGGACCAGCTTCGAGACCTCACAGTTCTGGCCACAATCGTACCATGACAGAAGGTTAGCTTCCCAGGTGCTACCATTCCAGGGTGACTCCCTGAGAAGCCACTGTGGTCATGCCGGCCTCTGCACAGCAGGAACTTCATGATAAATTAATGGAGCTGCACATCAGTCCCCCGTGGCCTCTGTCACTAGTTTTCCATCACAGAGGCCCTGCCCCCCAAAGCCCACCTTGGGGCATCAGTCCTTGTGCCTGGGAGGCAGGGACACTCCCTCTCATCGTACTGCACCCTGGCCTTGGGGATAGGACCCACTGTCCACCTCTCTCCCTCTGTGAACCATCACAAACCATGGAAGGCAACTCTGTCCACTAACGAGGACCACATCTTCTTAAATCTTAATTGCCCAAGAGGCACAGAGGGATGAATGGGGTGGGACCTGCTCCACCTGTGCAGGACCAACAGCTAGAGAGGAGTGGTGCTGTAAGACGAGGCTCGCAGGGGGGACTGCCCCTGACAGGCAGGCGGACCCCCAGGGCCACGGAGGGCCTGGGCATGCGTACCTCACGTTGGTGTGCCGTTTGACGTACAGGTTGTGGAAGTTGTTTGTGTTTTCCATTTGGCCTGCCTTGGGGCCTTGCAGTCTCTGGATGATCTCAGCTTTCATTTCCATGGCGATGTGAGCCGGTAGCAGGGAGAGCAGAAGCCGCTCCTAAAACCAGGGTGGGGGGCGAGAAAGAGTGGACATGTTTCAGACAACTGTGGAGACAGCCAAGAGGTCCTGGAAATCACCACTGACCTGGAATGAGGCCAACGTGGGACACTTTCTTATAAGTAAAAATATAGATCCTAGAAACGCATATTGACAGAAAAAAAATCAAATTTTCTGAGGTCAAACTATGCTATTATGTTATTTATTATTTTTTAAGGTCTCAGTATGAGTGTTTTTCAGTGCCAAGAATAGAGAAAGGCAAAGCTATTTCCCCAAGGATATTATTTATCTCTATTTTGATTCTAAAATAGTGAAGCAGGAATGATATTAAAATCCTAGGAACTAGTGGTCAGTCTAAGATAAAAACACTCATTTTTGCCTACTTGTTCATTTGAGAGATGAAGTGCAAGGTTTATTGCACTTTGGAAAGACAACTAATATTCCACACGTCCTAAAAAAGCTAGTCCCATATTTTCCGATATTTCATTTCCTCTGTGATGAGGACCCAGTATCCTTTAGAGATTCAAAATTATTATCAAAATGAGTAGAAATATTAGCCTCTGCCAAACAGCCTCTATGGGAAACTGCAAGCAGAACACAAAAACGCAGCACACAAGCTTTTTGTGAATCTTTGTGTATTTCTCCAAATTTGGCAAGTCCAGTAAGTAAGAAATACTCACGTGGCATACTGTGCTTGCTTTAGTATATACTTATTTTAGTTAGAGTGGCATGGTCCTAGTCTCTTCAAGAAAAATGCATTTTTAGAACAATTATCACAGAAGTGCAACTTTGAAAGTTTGCAGTCATTCTAGAGGACTTTTGAAGGTTAATCTACTGCAATTCAATCCTCAGCGGGCTCTCCAGGGTCTGCATCAGTTTGTACAGATGGTGAGTGTCCTTCTGGACTTGGTCTGGGGTCCCCACAGTGGGGCAGACACACTGCCTCTGGTGGTCAGTACTGGGCCATGGGCTGAGGCTCCATGAAAACCCTGCATTTGTACATGGTGAGTCAGGACCCTTTCCTTAAATTTGTCTTTCTCTGCTTTTGAAATGCCTAATGAAGGAAAAGCCCAACATGGCCAGCTTTTCAGCCCAGCACTGTCCCCTCTGCCTCCTTGGGAGGGCACTACAGGTTGCTGGGTTTCCCCTCTGCCACTTCCTGGGTCTCAGCAGAGGAGCTTGAGTATCCGCCCCTCCTGTCCTGCATGTCCCTTAGAGGGCCCAGCAGGATGGAGTTCCTATTGCCACCAGTGACAGGCCCCTTTCAACCACGGCCTCCCTCCCTGTCCACTCCCTCACCTTTGCCCCCAGAACCACTCCAAGTGAACAACTGCACCCACATCCTGTCTTGGGGCCCAGGTGGCATAAGCCTAACGTGACATTTCCAGGCCTCGTCCCTCCTCCTCTTATATTCTGTAATAAGACTATGCCAAACCCCAAAGAGCCAGGTACCTCCCGAAAGACACAGATTCCATGACCAAAAAAAAAGGAGAGTCAAATATAGTAATTCTCTCCCACCCCCAGTCTCATTTAGCATCCAAATATAAATTATGATCTCCATTTTAAACCCAAATGTAGAGGACAACCAACTTTTTATAAGTGGTTAGAAAATACATAGAAAATAAAATTCATATGTTATGTAAAGCAATTTTTTTCTTTTGTTGTGCTTAAGAATTCAAGTGAATTTAGTCTGCAATAAAGATTCTGGGAACAGCCGACCAGCCGCACCAGAGGCTTCCCCACCACCTTGTGATCCCATCAGCCGAGGGCACAGCCTCTGGTGGGGCTCAGGAGCAGGACCCAGTCTCTGTGCCCATCCAGGGCTGGGCCACAGGAACCTCAGGAAGGATTGAGCTCAAAGTGGTAAAGTCAAAACTTTTTCTTTTAAGTTTGTGTTTCTCCCTTTTAAAATATCTCTGACCTAAAAGAAAACCCCAACATGACAGACTTTCAAGCTCCACAATCTTCCCTTTGCCTTCCCAGGAAGTCACTAGAGAAACCAAAGCCCAGTATCTGGCACACAGGACAAATTTCAACCCAATTGGTAATCTGACAAGGTCATTATTTCCATTAATATTTCAGCTTTTTCTAATGTAGCTGCGTGTTCTGCCAAATTATCTGAAAGCAGCACACAAATTTAGGTGCTTAATATGCCAGATATCACTTAGCGAAATTATCTTCCAAAGGACAATGGACAAAGTCCTTCAGGATACTTTTGGAAAGTCAAGTTGTCCATTAAGCTGATGGATGCACACCCCACAACTTCCTCCTCTTGTTAGAAATGATTGTGTAACGACAGAGAACTGATTCTGGCCTATTCAAAGTTTATCCAGTGAGTAACTTGGCTTGGTTTGGGGGTTTTGTTTTAACATGCTCTTTTATAAAACCTTCAATTCTTGTTCAATAGGAATGAATTTTTTTCCTAGGACTCATTTTTTTTAAAGTGGACTTTATGAAAGACCTCTATAGTGAATTTAGTAAATTTCAATATTCTGTTGATCAAAGTCCAGGGCACTCTGAACTCCAAAGTATTTTGAATATAATGATGTAAAGCAGTTACAACAACTATATTTTATGCTATTTTTTTTGTGGGAGAAGGTTGATAGAAAAATCCAGTGTAAGCAAAGAGGACCTGTGCTTAAATTTTGAGCTAAGGCATAGTGATGTGTATTATACCCTATCCCTTTTATAATCCACACAATAATAAAACCTTAAAGTTGTTGCATCTTTCAAAGGGAAGATAATGGTGAAGGAAGATAATATTCCTTCCATAAAAATTTGTAAATTTTTCTTATCCAGAATGTTCTCCTCTAGTCATCATTTTAAACGTGATTTGATCCCATCAGGATGCCAAACCAGCACAATGAACAAAAGGGGTGTTGTTATAAATTCTTCTCTTTGCCCAAAAGAGTACCTACCAGAGCGGCCAAATATCAGATCCCGAAGCAGCTGCTGGTTCCTGTGTGGCTCCACCACCCACCCGTGGGTTAACCCTGCCCTGAGGGAACTCAGTGCCTACGTGAAAGGAAACCCTAAAGGCTCTGCATTCTGAAGTTACCTGTGGGAATGGAAGAGGACGCACCAGGACTCCGCCAGCTCACATCAGCTCACACCTTCCCTTGCGGTCTCTCAGAGCCAGGCATCCTCACCCCGATGCCCCAGCTGCATCACCAGCAGATCCCCAAAGTACTAGTGCTTTCTAGTCAGCACTGCAGTGTTGCTGCCTCCCCTTACCAGACAAGCTCCTGTCTCCAAGGTGCCTTCTTGGAGTGTTGGCATCGTCACCGTCAACCACACACACCGAGTACACTGGGTACTCCTGTTTGAAAGGTCTTGCTTTGTGTTCCTTTGACGAATTATACAACAAAACAAAACAAAGAAGCCATCACTCTTACATCGGATGGAGAGCAGCTCTTCGCAGTGGAAAGAGCTCTGGCATGGGAGACGATGAGCGTCTTCACCTTTTCTCTGCCATTTCAGTCCGATCACATCAGCCTCTGAGCCCCAGTTAGGGTGTCTGGGAAATAGCCTGTTGAGTAGGGGAGTCGGGGCCTCCACGTCTGCGTGGATTGCAGCACTTCATGTTACCATGGCTGGTCCTTTTTGGAAATCGACACGCCTGTTTCAGAGACAACCACATCCTGCTGCACATGCCTAGGAATAAGTGTCCCACCAAGGGCAGAACCTAAGCAATCACACCTCACGGGGTGGTTCCAACAGCGAAGGCAAGTTCTGGAGGACAGGGAGGCCTGGGGAGGGAATCCAGAGCAAGCCCTCAGGGAGGAGGCTGCTCACATGGCTCGGGAAGAGCACCCCAGCGAGTGAGGAGGCAGAGGCGAGGGGCCAAGGCCGAGATGGGACACTTGTGGCCAGTGCTTCTGCACCCGTGCGGAGGGAAAGCTGCCCTGATTACCTCACCATCTAGGGAGCTAGAACACACTGTGCACATTAAAATCAACATGCACTTCAGAAAATCACCATTCTCTCTTACAACCAACAAGTTCTTCCATAGCTTGTAGGGCTGGTTTTCTAATTCAAAAACCCTGGTCACATATTACCGTTTCATTGAAACAATTTTAACAAAAACCAGGTGGCGAAACAGAGATAGATAAGGATCAGAGAGATTCAAGTGAGGCGGTGGTCACCTGGGGCATCCAGATAAACCTTGTGCCTTCCAATTGTAGGACCACAGGCTACTTTCCCCACCCACTCTGATTTGTAAGTTCACGGGAACAACCAGAGAGCTGTTAGAGAGCACATTGTGAAAAAAAAGTTGGAAAAAATGAATTTAGACTCACATGTAATTCCTATCCAGTTAAAAGAAGTTAGAAGAAAGTGCTAATCAAGTTGAATTATAAATTATGTCTATAGTCACTGATGACAGTAAATTGGAATTTCCAGACTTGAACTGTTTACCATCAACTGTCAATTCAATTCTCTAAAATACAGCCTCTAGTGGAACGGAAATCATTCATAAGGGCAAAAACCCATTCAGTCCTCTGCTGAGAGATGATGAAAGCTGATGATGCTTCTTAGAGCCAGTAGAGGGACACCAGGGCCCAGCAGGCACTCAGAGCAGGAGGACAGCTGGGGTCTCGTGAAGTCTGAGCACAATGCGACACGGCACCGACATCAATCACTCCACCCAAGGGGAATTTCATCAGACCAATAAGACCTCCACACTCAGACACCATCCAGTGAAAGGCACGCCAGAGTGAAGCCAACCTCATTAGACTTGCCCTGCAATGTCACCTACCCACAGATAGGAGACCCTGAAATGACAGTGCCGATTGAACGACCCTGTGGAGAAGACGAGTGAGACTGGCCACAGTCCTGGATGTGGACCAGAAATCCAATGCATGGTGTCCAGGCGGTCAGGCACGTGGACCACAGATTGGCCAAAGGGTCTCAGGAGCAAAATCAAACATTTTAACATCCAAATGTGACCCTTGAATGCAGCCACATGCTCTAGGAAATCAGACAAGGGACAAAGTTATATA